CACAACTTTATTTATAAAGCACATTTCATTAGCAAGTCTTCATATTTTTTTTTGTGAATTTAAATAAAGGACCATAATAGAAACACAATAAGGGGGATAGTGCATCATGGTGGCATAAAGGTAATTCAATAATCAATTAAAATGAATAACGTGTATAAATACTAATTTTGTTTACCATATAGAAATACTTTAAAGTTTCAAAATGAAATTTCAGAGTTGTTTTAGCCAATGTTTCCCATTTCCTCAAAGTGTCATTCAACCAAAATTAATTTTTTTGTAGGTAAACTGTGTAAACTGGACCATTAGAGTGCTATTCTGAAATTTTTTTTATTATTATTTGTAAGGGTGTTTAATGCTGTCTTCTTCAGCTGAATGGTGGTCAATTCTGATTAATTTTCTTTACTTTTCATATGTAAACTGAGGTTGTCACAGCTCTGCAGTCAGGCATACAACAATAAACACAGTCCCATAGGGATTATTTGGAATCATGAGTATTGAGAATACTAGTCATAGACTTTTTCTTATGTGTAGGTTACCAACAAGTGTTGAATTTATATATATATATATATATATATATGAATTATGTATGTATCTTAAGTAGTCAGGTTGTGTGAAGGTTAGAAGGACCCAAGTGCAGGGATTGAAGCTGAGGTGGTTTTCTTGCAGGTTGGTAAAGCTGGTGACTGAAGCAGAATCCAAACTAACAAAATCCACAAAGTCCAAAAATACTTAGATCCAGAAACTTACATCAAGCGTAAATAAATGATGACAAACCAGCAAACAGTGACTGAGCAGGAGGCGTATATATGGGATACAGAAATAAAGACCAGGCTAATCAGCAGGTTGGGAACAAGTGTGGACAGAGGAGGCTAGAAAGAAGCTGGGAAAAAAGAGACTGGCAGCAATATAGTATAGTAACACACACAGGTGTGTAACTACTACTGCTTTAAAACATTTTTTGCATGTCTCACATGTTGTAAATACAATTCACAAGGAAATCAGAGAACTAAGTGAGGAAAGGCACCAAGAGGTACAGCTCCATTTGAAGTAATTAGCATGTACTACATTGAGCTGACCCAAAGTGGACAGTAGAAGTACTGCCTAGTCCTAGTGAACAATTTTTCTTAATGGGTAGAAATTGTTTCCACAAAACATGCAAATGCGCTGACAGTAGCAAAAGCGTTGTGTAAACATATCATACCTGTGCATGGTATCCAAAAAATCTTACAAAGTGATACTGGAACACATTTTGTGAATCAAGTGATATCACTAATGTCCAAACATTTAAACATAAACTTTGAAACATCACTGTTCCTACCATCCACAGAGTGCAGGATTAGTTGAGAGAATTAATGGAGAAATTAAAAATAGATTGAGAAAATTCACTCATGAGAGAGTAAAATTACTCATGAGATGAGGATTATTCCAACATCTGATAGTTTGACCCCTTTTGAAATAGTGAATGGGAGACCTTTTGTTCTACCTTTATGGGAAGGACAGCCATGGGCAGAAAAAGAAAAAGAACATTGACCCATTAACTAAGTGAATTCTGAAGCTGTTCAAATACAGAACTGTTCAAAGAACATGTAATCTGCCCGGAGCTCCTTTTGTTTCCCCACAGGAAGGCCTGAAGCCTGGAGACCGAGTGCTGATTAAAATCATCAAAAGGAAAAATTGGGCAGCTCCGAGGTGGGAAGGACCCTAAATTGTGCAACTAGCAACCCCCACCACTGTGAAGAGATCCAGGAAAGAGAGACTTGAATCCAGAGTCATTGTAAGCTTATTAAAGATTTTCCTCAGCAAGAAGCCCAGTTACTTTCACAGGGACCCCACGACTACGGTAAAGATCTGTGGTGAAGTCCAGCTTCAAAGGGGTTTGGTTTTTTAAGACCAATCGTCTCAACGCTGGTGAAGAAATCAACCTAACCCTGTCCTTTAGAGTCCGGGTTAGTGGGTGCTTCCTTGGAGGGACTGGTGAAGATGAGTAAAACCAAAGTGGTTTTGCTGCCTGGTGATGACCGTTGGACTGGTGTTCCTAGGGACTCAAACACGTGGGTTTTCTAAATATTTTTGAAAAAGATCTGCTCGTCTTTGTCCCGTTCTTTTCAAAGCCTGTAACTGGGCGTGAACATACTTTAGCAATAAGGGTCCATCAGACCGACTGACTAGAGTAGGAGACACATTTTTCTATTTATTTTCTGTAGCCCTAACCAGGGGGTCGGCAAACCGTGAATCTGGAGCCTCATGCGGCTCTTTAGCCTCCTCCTTGCAGCTCCTTGCGGCTCCTTGTGGCTGTAAACATTTGTATAATAAATAAATCTGAACAATAATTTGCATCATAGCCATAGAGATCAGTGGCCATAACTTGGAACCAGGCAAACAAAGCGGTGGGTGTGTCTCGGACCATGAATCCCAAAGGGGAAAAAAGAAGATAGCTGAAGAGCAAAGAGGATTCAAAGAATGGACCGAATCATTTGCTTTCATTATCAATGCAGAAGGATTGCCTGCATTTTTGGTTTGTAATGAGAGGTTGTCAAAAATAAAAATAAAAATTTGGAAAGGCATTTCCAGGGAAGGCTAAATATGCAGGCGACCACCATTTCTATAGTGGGATAATACACTTAGAGCTCGATTGCCATAAGACACCTATATAAGACTTTTTACATTTTTGCGGCTCCAGACAGATTTTTGTTTTTTTGGTCCAATATCGCTCTTTGAGCAGTTTGGGTTGCTGACCCCTGCCCTTACCTGTCAATCCAGCTAATTTGTAGCACTCAGGTTTATTTCTGCATATANAGACAGAAGCAGTCATACAAAAAGAACATAGAAGCATGGATCTATAAATACTCTATATGTTGAAAAAGGTAACAATAGGCTCCACGTGTGGTTCTGTCTTGGAAAGAAACAGTTAAGCATAGGATCTCTGGGCCAAATTTCATGTCAAAAGGGATAGACGAGAGCATATGCAGTTGGAGAGAGAAACAGGACTAAGCACTGATAAAGAGGCAAAACTTTATTTTTTTTATCATATAAGGTGATGATGGCAGCAGCCCTGCTGATATTTCTCTCTAGTATGATGTCACATCCAAACAGGAACAGACCAGATGGAGTTACTATGATCTGAAAAAGCAGAGAGAGCATAAAGTTAGTGGTTGAACTAACAAATACTTCCTAATGGGAGAATAGGGATAGAATGAAGCAGAGCGATCTAAAGGGGTCTATATGTGTCATGGTTTTAGTGATCTTATGCTTTACTTTGCTCCTTGTTTTCTAGTTTTTATTGGTTTAATTCCTATTTTGTTGTAATTTCTAGATTTATGTTAGTTCTCATGTTGTCCTCTGTTGCCCTCTTGTGATTGTGTGTGTGTTCCTTTGCCCTTGGCTCCGTTGATGTCTCCTCACACCTGCTCCTTGTCAGTTCGTTAGCCCTCCCTTTGTCTCTGTCAGCTATTCATGCTCTCCGTCTGCTCTCACTCTTTGTTGGTTCCGCTGTTGTTGCTGGTCCTGTCATCGCTGCAATCGTCTCCCCTCGTCTCTCCCTGGCTCCTTCTACGTGTATTCCGTCGATGTCTCCATGGTTCTGGTCTGTTACATTTTAGTTGGATTTTTGGACTGCCTTTGTTAACCATTTTTCATTAAAACTACAAGTATTCACCTCAGCACCTCTGCCTCTGCATTTGGGTCCTCCAAACCTCAACCAAGACGTGACAATATGTCCTCCAGCAGTGTAAGCCTATAGCAGCATAACTA